ATCTCAATGAAAATCTTAACGATCTCCTTAAAGACAATTAATTAATAGTTAGAGAATTGAAATTTCTCATATATTCAAATGGAACAATTAATTTTAATTTCTTCCTATGAGATAATTTCCTAAAATAATCAATCAAGTTGAAATATTTTTCCACCAACTTGTAGTCACAATCACAATATTTATATTGATTTAATTGCCAAGATCAACAGGATAATAATAATGATGATATCTAATCAGAGATGAATTGTAATTAACAATTATCAGCTCACAATCAATTTCCTAACAAGTGAAATTTTTGTAAAATTTTCTCATTATCAATAGTTATCAATATCTATTCAATTGGAAACTCAATTATCATGATATTATTTACGATCTTTTAACATTAACATGATAAATTTCATCCTTTTTCTTGCTTTCAAGATATTCATTGAATCCTTGAGACGTGAGGTGTAATCATGATGATGAATATGAAAAAAAAACAGTAACAATCAACACACTGAACACTCAGGTAATCAATATACATTACCTATTGATGGATATGGCAAAAGAATACAAGAAAAAAAAAGTAGAAATGTTTACAAAGTGTTTCCATTAAGATAATGATAATTTACCTGTTGATTGAACCTCACGACAGGTAAAAGGTAAACTTGAATCTTTTAGAAATATTATCATTACCATAATAGTAATAATATATTTCTTTGAAAATGAAAGTGAAACTTTTTTTGCTTCTTTCTCTTTCCAAATAACTTTGTACATATTTGGAAGACCATGAACTTTGACATGGAAATTGTAGTTATAATGAAGTAAATGCCCTCAGGGTAATTATTTATTTCTCTTCTTCTTCTTCTTAACAAATGATCCAGGATCTAATACTTTTCACCTATGGTAGGAAAACATTAGCATTTGAAAAGGTTGGAGAAAGTAAACTTGATTGATTAACTTTTGCTACTCCTTAGTTAATTTACTGATTGTATTATTAACTGTTTCTAAAAGTTTATCTGAGTGTAAATCTTTTCACTTTCAACAATTAGCATAACATGATAATTGGTACCTCATGATTAAGTTAATCATTTACTAGGCAATAGATTTTAGGATGATCAACTTCGTGTGTTAATCATTTATTAGATTATCAAAATGTTCATTTTAATATAAACCGCGACCTTGATTGTTATTAAATACCTGATGGAAATTGACCTTCAACTTTCAAGGACAATTTTAGATTATATCATTAGTGATAATGATGAATATTACAAAGACACACAATCAACGGGAACAATTTAATTTGATTCTTAATTTATATGTATTAAAACACTGAACCTCTTGTTAATCTGTTAGTTTGTTCATAATATGTATTAATTCAAAGTTAATTCTTAATTGTGTAAATGTTAACGACTTTTTTTTCAGTAATTGTGATTACAATTATACTTAATTATCATCTACTACAGAGAGAGCAAAATAATAATATATTTGTTAGTGTGAATAATTGGATTTCCAATGTGAAAGTTAATTTAACAGAGATTAAACAATTTTGTAAACTTAATTGTTACACCAACAGAGTATTAAGATTAATGATCAAAAGTTAATCCATTATTTTTGACCATTAATTAAGGTAAATTAAGGTTTAATTGGTAGTTCGATTTTTGTTAATAGTCAAAATGATAAATACAATTTAGAATCCAGAAGAAAATCAAATTGATTAACTTTGAGATCAACAATTGTATTCACATAATTGCTTTTAATACAATCAACAATTAAAAACATGAAGTAAAAAATCAACAGAATAACAATTTAATGATTTCCTATGATAATGAACTTCCGTAAATAAAGTTTATTGTCATATGATATTGACAATTAAGTTAATTGTTCACATACAAGACTATCAATGGATATTAAGATTAACAGTATATAAGATTTAACTGGACAATCAATGAAGGGTATTGATTAAACGTTTGATTGTTATTAAAAAGACTATAAAGTTACAATTAACTGAGGGATAAATTAAATTAAAAGTAACAAGAAAATCATTTCAATTGAATTTGTAATCCATGAATTTTGATGATTTTCAGGTAACCAAAAAAAAAGTATATCATCAAAATAATGATTATTATATTCCTATTGAGTGTAACCTTTAACTATGAAATTTGATTGTTGATTAAATATATTGAAAGTTTGAACGATTCTCACGAAAGTGAATACATATAAATGGATTTCATTGAGATCGTTGAACTTGACTACATGATGATGGAGAAAAAAAGTTCAGAAGTTACAGAAAAAAAGTCCATTGGTGAATCGTCGCCATTTTTCAATTCCTCCGCTGACCATCATCATGCAATTCTTGACCCTGACCTTCCTCCACCTACTCTACCCGTAAGCGTATCGGGAAAAAGGTGATGATGAAGAAGAAGAAGAAAAAAGTTCTGAGAAAATGATTATTCGATTATGAATGAATCTGAATGAATCTAACCTTTCATTATTCTGTCCAGTTATGTGAAAATTGAGTTCACTATTTTTGAGAAAAATATTTCAATGAATTTTTTTCTTCTTCCTTACCTTCATCTTACCGTGAAAATTAATCATCATGATCAACTAATCATCATGAATAAAAATATATTGAAATTTTCTGTGTGTGAAAAATGAGACAATTGACAATTGATTCTGTCATGATGAGGATCATGATCAATTTCTGGAGTGAAAATTGTGATTGACTAATGAAAATTCAATAATTATCATGATATGAAAGTGAAAATCCTTGTGATGAAAATAATTTAATTTTTCATCATCTTCCGTGTTAATGATTAAACATTATCATCAATGGTGGGAAATGATCAATGATTATTAAATTAAAATTTCATTATATCATCATCCTAACGGAATCAATTTACAAAATTTATATATAAATTGATAAATTGCTGTCAAAACTTTTTATGTTCAAATTGTAATCATAATCAACTTTTTATACATAATTAAAGTTAGAAAGTTAATGATAATTGTTATTGCTCATGATGATGATAATTATCATTATCAATATAATGATTACAATAATGATCATGTTGATTAAGTTAAAAAGGTGAGATTGAAAGTTATTTCTAGAATTGTAATTTACCAGGTTATCAAACTTAAGTTATTACAAATGATTAAAAGATTACTAAATTGCCGGAAGGGTGATTGTTATGATTCAATTTCACCTTTTAATTCAGTTCTCTGTTAATTGTAATTAATCATCAGATTTTTGTTTGTTTTTTTAATGCGCAACTTTTTTTTGTATTAAATCAAATGATACTTTACAATTAACTTGGTTAATTGTTGATGCTAAGTTATAATTGTAATCGGTTGATCCTTTTTTTTTTAGTTTTTTTTTTCATATGATTACAATTAACTTACAAGGGCTGAGTCTTAATTGACTTAATTTTAAATCTCATGATCAAATTAACCCTTCAAGAGTAATACTCAAAATAATCATCAATGATTAATTGTCAAGAATTATCAACAAAAAAAGTTTGATATTATGTATGTAATTTTTTTCCTTAAGGAAATATATCAAATTTCAATTGAGGTTTCAAAGGTGATTAACTGATGATGATAATTATGATTAATTGATTGAGTTACCTGTCTTCATATTTACCTTGACATAATGATTGGCAAATGAATCAAAAGGTATTAATACAAAAAAAACATGAATGACTAGGAATCATCATTGATTCATGATGAACTTTTTTTTTACAAGATCGAGGAAAAAAATAATCGGATGTAAATTCAAATGTATATAATTTGTATTGTCACGAATTCTGACAAAAATTGTTGCTAATTGTTATTTCTGAATTGAACTGAACAACATGAATCTATGAATTTGTTGTTCTCCATCTTAATCTTTTAATTTCATCAAGCAATCATTTTCTGTATCTTCCTGGATATGTACAGTTTAGTATTGAGAAAAGGTAAACTCAAGAGATTTAGACAGGTAAAGAAAAAGAAAGAAAAATTTAGACTGATGATGATGAGAAAGAAGAAGAAGATGAAAAAAATGATGAGATTAAAGATGAAGATGAAATAATTTACTGTTACTTTGATTCTCCACCCACACTGACCCATGAAACAGAATGGAAACAATTTAAATCCCTAACCCGTAACATTATCATTTTGCAAGACCTTTAGGTACGTAACTAAACGTGAAGCACGTTTCAATCATCGTGCTAATTGTAAATAGACAGACAGGTAAACAACAAAAACAACAACAACCCCACAGGAAACCAAAGTTTCTCAATGAAATGATATGTAATGTATGTTATGTATGTTTGATGGAAGAATTAAAAACAAAAACAAAAAAGTAGAGAAAAACATGAAAACTTATCACAGAATCAACAGGAAGAAATGATGAGGATGAAACGATAAAAGGATAAGAAAAATAGGTGAGGCCAAAGGGTAACAGGAGAGTCGAAATTGGGTTATCAGAAGCAAATGGATAAAGTAATCATGTTAATTTCATCTATTTGAATGTTAAATTGATGATGAAATACATGATCAATTCATGGATATTCAGGGTATTACAAGAACACCCGAAGTGCTTAACTGATTGGTGTTTGTTGTTGTTGCTTTTTATTGGCTAAACTTTTGTACTGGTCAGTGATTTACTCTTGTCCAGTTTGATATGATTCAAGTTGTAGACAAAGAAAAAGAAACAAAAATTCACTGTTAATGTTAATCAATCTAAATCTAAATGTATTGGTAAATGTTTCAAATTGTAAATTACACCAGAAATTATTATTATTATTATCATGATCAATTTACTTATTGGTGTTTTTTTTTACTCCATCACCAATCAACATTTAAGATTGAATATATTTTCAAAGTGATGCTATTGATTTGGTTTGGCTGCAAAGCAATTGCAATGTTTGCTAACTATGCAAATGAATTAAATTTGTATGCAAATGATAAAATTGATGGTATGAAAAAATGGTCACAATTTAGTTTTATCTGATATTATTAATGGTTAATTGACTTACCCTTTAGACATGATTTTTCAGCGTAAATTGTGAAAACTGGAAACTGTGAGGGTTGAAGGGCTTCCGGTTTAATTGTAGCATCAGAACGTAAAAGTATACAAAGTCCAGTTTCATAGTTTACCGCTCGACAAGTAATATTATCATTACACTTTGTAAGACAATCAGTTAATTGTAAAACTCCGGGAATAGTTTCAATTGTATCATCTGAAGAGGTGAAAACATATCCAGTGACAAGTTCAAAGGTGGACATTGAAGCTGGACACTCATTAGTATTAGATGAACCTAAGGAAAATGATAAAAAGGATAATTACAAGCAAAATGGACAGTTAATATTATCAAGTATAAGTCAACAATTAAGAAAATTAGTCCAATCAAAGATTAGATTATTCAACTTACCTAAATCGATTGAGGGTAATTCTGTTTCCGTTTGACCGTAAACACTGATAAATATCACAGGTAAGAATAGGAACTTAATCATATTGTAATTCATGATCATTGTCTAAATTAACTTTGATTTGATAGTTTGAAACACGGGAAGAAAAAAAAGTTTATTAATAAATTAAAGTTGAGATGTAAATCGTTGATTTGATTTAATTCTCTAAGGATTTAATTCTAACTACTACTCTTGATGTTGATTCTTCAACAGGTAAGGGGCAAATGAAATTACGTTGGGCCAAAAAAAGAGACAAACTTTTTTTTTCTCAGGTAAACCTTCAAATTTATTTCAAGTTTATCTTCATCAAGGGAGGGAGATGATGATGAGGATGAGGAGGAGGAGGAGGAAGATGAGAATGAGGATGCTACAGAGTGGAAGAGAGAGTGTGACAAGAGAGAGGCTCCATCTTTTGGAATCGTTAAAATTATCGATCATCATGATTTAATTGTGAGTTCTTTTGATTGAAATTCAACACCTAAAGTCAATCATTTATCAATGAGAAGAAAACTCTTGCCGATGGTCCAAATGAATGTCGTCGATTTGGTACAATTTGTCGGGATAATTTGGATTGTCTCATTCGCACCGATTGGCAGCCTGATTTAATCACGTCGTCATTGCAACACGTTAATCCAAGATTGTCGTTAATTGTATTTCCATGGGGACAAGATTTATCACAATAACATGAGCGTGTGAATCCTTCAAATGTATAATTTGGCCATTCGTCTTCAATTAATCCTCCTTCATTGATGATATGATGAGAAACTAGATTAGAGTTAATTGTATGTCTACCAAGCACACAGCCCATTGATTAAAGTTTCGTTGGTGTTGATTAGATTGAATTGGAAAACAAATCACTAATGAATCAACTGAATGGACACAATTATAGTTATACTTCCAGTGGAATATAAAATTTAAGGTTAACAATTAAAGTGAATATAAAACAATGGACAACATTCAGCTTTCAAGAGGATTGTTTTCCTTTGATTGTGATTATCTTATTTTGGAGATAATCAACTTGAGTTGATTGGTTCCTAATCATAATTATAATCTTGTATCTTTATCTTGACCTTTTCTTTTTGTGTTTAGTTTGGTTTTTTTTATTTGATTACAATTTAAAAATATAATTATTCTAACAATCAACAAGTTTAATTGTTATATTTTTAATTGTTTCCCTTTTTTTTCAGACATGTTAATTGTGTGTTGCTTGAAAAGTTGTGTGATTTAAAGTTTCAACAGATTTGAAAGTGAATTAATCAACTTGTTGGATTCTGTTTGTGCTTTTTTCACTGATTTAATGTCGATGGTTTCGTCGGTAATTATGATCGATTTTAATTTATCTTGTAAGTGTTTCCATTTTAATCCTAATAAATCGGCCATTTTAATTGATGCGATTAGTTTTCGAGCTTCTTTACGATTGATTCGCAATTGTGGTGTTTTCCTCCTGTCAAGGTCATTTAATTCCTTAGCAACGAGTTTAGTTACACGATCGATGAAAGTACCATGAATATCCTCTTCAGCGTTCAATTGGAAACTCAAATTTATGTGAAATTTTGGTTTAATTGTGGTTAATTTACTTAGATCATAGAAGTTTTCTTTCGAGTTCCAGTTAATCGTCTCATGGTTGTGAATTCTAATAAAAGAGAGAAAATTGTTAATAAAATTGTTGTGGAGACAATTTATTCCCAAGTAGGAATTACTTACATTATTGGTTGAACAGGATTCTTAATTACTTTGATTATTTTCTCGGTTAATTCAAAATCTTGTGCAGAAACTTGACCATCAAGTGTTAATCTTGGTAAGAAAGTTAACATTAATTGATGATGACAATTAGCATCACATTTATCGATGATGTAAGTTAACATATCTCGAGCATCGTCAATTAATCCAGGATCAATATGAGTTAAACCACATTTAACATAAGTTAACAGTATTGTAATAAAAGGAGTAACATCTTGATTATCATTAATCATTTTGGTGATTGCTTTTTTGAGACATCTAATTGTTGACTGTCTAACTTGCTCTTCACCATCAATTATAAGACGTGCCAACGTATTAATAGATTCACCATCAACAATATAATTCTCCAGATAACCAGTATAAATTTTATTCAAACAAAGTAATTTAAACTGTTTGTTAGCAGTTAAACTTCTTGATAAAACAACCATTTGATTAGAATCACTAATTACACTTTGGTCTTTAATGATAATCCTTTTTGACTTAAATTGTGTTGATGTTTCATTAGCTCGCTTGGGAATTGATTTACCAACTTTTAATTTAGTTTTCTGAAAATCAACATTCTTTTTCTTCGCCATTTTAACAAAATAAATTAACAACAATCAAGAGCACAATTAACAATTAAATTAACTAACAAACAGATAAAAACAATAGAAACTCAAAGCATCAATAGTAACACATGTTCACTTGTTGTCATGACAACGAGACGAAATTGAGAAAATAAGATTGAAGCGGTTCGTTCAAAAATCGATGATGAATATTAATTGTTCACTAATTGTAGTTTTTAGATCACTGGAACTTTTTAATTTTATTTATTTCATGAGTAATTATATTTAATAGTAAGAGAGTTAAATTTGGATCGAGTGTGTATTGTTTAATTGATTAATTGTTTCTCTATGTTGTTGGTGTTGTGTTTGTTTGTTTGTGTGTTTATGTTTTTGTTTTGTCAATTGGGCTTTCAATTTGTAATTTGATTAACAACAATTTACCAAATATGTGTTTCTCTAATTTCACTAATTATCATGTTAGCCTTTTGTAATGCTTTTAACATTTCGGTTGCTTCTCTACGACGAACGGCAATATGTTCAGATTCTGAAAGTAGATCATCAAAATCTTCCTTCTTGTAAAGATGAGTTACCAATTCGGATTGTAAATTATCTTTAACAAAATTAACAAGGAAATACATGATTGCCTTTGGTACCGAGTCTTGAATGTTTTTACGAACAATTAAAAAATAAGATCTAATTAATTTCTCAATAACTGTACAATCCCTTTGCTCTTTGGATGTTAATTTAACTTCCCTGCTTGCTGGTACATCGGGTAAAAGGTTAACTGGTTTAGTAAGTTGATGATTTTGAGACTTTCTATAAATTGGAACAGCCGAATTGGGTAAACTACTGGGTCCACTTGAATCACCTAATCTGTCTAGATCATTCATATTATCACCCGCTTCTAATTGTCCAGTGGGAGCTTTTTTATTTGAAACTGACCAAATGGTGTTCGCATCAAGTTTAAGTGATAACGATGATCCTGGTTTCGTTTTAACTAATTCACTGGAACTACCAACAGCTGATCCATCTTCTGAGGATAGAATTGCATTACTTGGTGAATATTTTTTCTTCTGATCAATTTCTGCATTTTTCATTAGAGTTCCAATCAATTGAGCTTCATGGAAATCAGGGTGTCTTGTGTTAATGTAAGCCAATTCTACGAATACTAAATTGTGGACCATTGAGTTGGTCGGTGGTAATCGACGTCTTAAAAGCTGTGTGACAACGTCGATTATTTTTTCATGGAGTTTAGGAAATCGAAGCAATTCTTGTTGAATTTCAAAGTCACAATGTTGAATAATTGCAACCATTTCTTCGTGAACCAAATCAACGCATTTTAAACTTGGTTCCTCGAGACGGCGAATTTGTCTTTTCACAAGTAGATCAAAACTAACCTCGGGCACGAAAAGAGCTGGTCGAGGTCCAGTAGCATTTTGAATGGCTGTTAATATGTCTCGATAGGTTAATCCTTCAAGAGGATCAACAGCATCAAGACGTTTACTGAATACTTCATGGAAAACATAACAAATACGAGCACCTCCAGACAATTTAGATGTTTCAATATCTCTTGCAGTACCTTCAATCGCTGAGCAATAAGCTGAAGCAAAACGTGTAATAATTTGTAAAAGAGTTTGCCCTTGGTCGACAACCGCATCACCATATGAATTTAAAAGAGTTTGGAATTGTGAAATCATCACTGAGACCCGAGTCTTCAGATCAGGTAGACAATCACGAATATGATGCATCAATAATCTGTTCAGAGTTTTGGCAAGATAAGCAGTTCCATTTCGAGTAGCTAGAGTGGGATACTTTTTCTGTAAGAAAAGTTGCTCATCTTTCAAAGCCTCTTCAATTGATTTTTTCGACAATATATCAGCTTGACTACGATTTACAACACCGATGATTCCTAATTTAACCGGAATGACTCGACCCATAAGAACATCAACAGCATCTATTTAATAGAGAAAAAGATTATAGATAAAAAGAAAAGGTAAATAGAAATGAAATAAACGCTTCAATTAACCGAGAAATTATGAAAGAGACAAAATACCTGTTCCAGCGTCCATAAGATCAAGCTTAGTGATCACCGCTAAAGTCCTTCTTCCGTCTGGGTCAACATCCCGAGCAAATTTGAGAGCTTCGGAAGTGGCAAAATCTGTATTTGCAGCAGTAACTGCAAGTATAATTGAATTTGGATTTGCAATGTATTTGGACAGTAGCTCTTTGATTTGCATTTCAATGTCGGCAGGTTGATCACCAACTGGAACTTTGGTTATACCAGGTAAATCAACAAGTGTTAAATTAACCACTCGAGGAGAATAAATCTTCAGGTTAATCGGCTCAGGACAAATTCCCTTATTGGAACCAGACATTCGATCAGTTTCAGCTTCTATTTCAATCCTAACCTCATCAAAATTGGAATACACTCGATTTTTGGTGTGTAAAAATCTGGCCCATTCTTCAAGACCTAAGGTTCCCTCCTCAACCGATCTTTGTACTTTATCATCCAAAGGAACATTGGTCAATTGAAGGATCAATGGTCGTCGGGTAACAATTCCTGGACCACGAGGAAGAAAATCTTTGCCTACCAATGATTCAATGACAGACGATTTACCAGAGGATTGATTACCAACAACAACAATTTGTGGTAATTGGATTGTATCACTTCCAATTGTATTGAAAACATCTTGTAGTTTATTAATCACAGGAATTAAAGCTTCCATATTCCATCAGCTAAGTAATTTGCTAATACACCAGGTGAATTAAAATCAATCAACACCAATTAAACTGAAAAATAGAAGAAACAAAAAAAAACCAATTGATAAATATACGAAAATGGAGACACACAAATCAGAGAGTAATCATTGGTCCAGGTGAAAATGTAGACAATAGGATTAGAAACACTGATGGGAAATAAGAAGCAACTCAAAAATTGAACAATTAATCCAACATGAGGATTAAAAGAAGGTTATTAACATGAAAACATGATCTTGAGAAAGAAAAATAAGGATAAAACACAAAGACAGAGAATTAGAAAGAGGAAAAGAATCAGAAAAGAGAGGGAATGAAAGAGTTTCTTTCTCTTTTCTCTCTCTCTTCTTTCTTTCTCTCTATTCTTTTTTCCTTTTTCTAAAAAGAGAAAATCAATCTTCAAGTTATTCTATTGTCTAAACTGGATGAGATTCCAACAAATTAACACCATTCCACTAGAAATACACTAATACTCACGTCTAAATACAAATTAAGTTCAGTGATTAATTAATTAAAAGTGAATACATTAAGTGAAGCAAAGGAAACAAAAATTGAATCGATCAAAAAAAAAACAGAAAAATTTGGTTGATCGTTGCCCATGGTAACCCCACGCCTCTTGTTTCCAGCAATTGATTTTGTTTTGATTTGATTTCCTTTCACTTCGTACTCATTACAATTGATTTAATTTGTTTGTTAATTTTATTTTGAGAAAAGAATAATCTTATTTATCTTAATTAGGTTGTATGTTCTCTTTATAGAATCTGTGTTATATGTTGTAGCACAAGTGACAATCATCATGACTTCGTTGATACAAAATTTGGCTCGATTGGCTCAACAAACGTTTTCCAAGCAGGTAAATGAAGAATCGCTCAATAGATTAAGAAATTTGGCCTCAAATTTAACTGCCCGTGATGTTGATTTTAAAGGTGACCTGTTAGAAGATCAAAAAAATTGTGGCCTTAAAGGACCAACAGTTCATGTTGATATTTGTGAAGATGATTTTCATTCAATATCAATATTTGGTATTCGTGAGGGTAAAAAAATACCTCTTCATGATCATCCTGATATGTATGGTTTAATTAAAGTGATTCGTGGTGCTATTAAGATTAAATCATTCACTCAATTGTCTGTTAAGGAAATTTCAACCACCCCTAAAGAAATTACATCAAAAGTATCTTGGAGACAAAGGCATCTTCTTATACCGACTGTGATGACCGGAGAGAAAATAGTTACCCAATCAAATGAATCGTGTTTACTTTATCCCAATGAGAATAATATCCATGAGATTACCTCGATTGAAGGATTATCCGCTTTTGTTGATATTCTTTCACCACCTTACCAAGATGGCGAACGAGATTGTCACTTTTATACTGTTCTTGGAACCGCTTTTGACCCCAAGCTAAATGTCAACGTTACTTGGCTTCTTCAAATCGACTCTCCGAGCTCCTATTGGTGTGATACAATTCCATATTCAGGACCACCGGTTAGATTATGAATAAAGGGTACGATTCGATTGATAGAAACAAAAAAGTTCATAGATAACCTTTTGTAAAAGACTATGATTATGCACCGAATCGATTGTTATTAATACTAACGTGAGAGTAACTAGTGACTAAAAAAACTCAATTCAATACGAAAATGTAAATTTCTATGGTGTGAATATATTTTAATTGTCAAATTAGTGAATTTCAATCTAGTTTTCTACTAATTGTTTACATCAAATGTCAACCTTTTCTTTGGTGAAAATCGTTTATTTCTCCCATCATAGGAATTATAACTTATCCCATGGATCGATTACTGGTCAATTGATTCATCTTTAGGCTTGACCTCTTTGCTTTGGTTTGAGGAGATAAGTTGTTTCCTTTACTTCAAGAGGTGTTTGCATGTGCTTTTGATAGAGACCAACATGATCGGGAATTTTGCTGTCGAGCTTTTCAATTTCACAGAAATCACCTGAGAGAGAAAGAGACACATAAATGGAGAAGGAAAAGTTAATCACCCATTAAAAATTTGGATTCTTTCTCAATGGATACGAAATATTAACTTACCAAAATATTGGCGAACCTTTTCCTCTGGTTGACTGAATGGAACTCCAGTCCACAATTTATCGTCAAATTCAGTTACCAATAGAAGATAACGGAAGTTTGGAGCCAAAAGTCGTTTCATTGTTTGGATGTAAAGTTTTTGCTCTTCTTCGGTGATAGTTCCAAATGCACCACGATCCCAAACACATTCGATAGTATTATTGATCAATGGACTATTTTGATAGATTCCAGCAAGTTGTAGATGAGAATTCAATTATTATCATGGAATCAAATCAAAAGAGAAGATCACAAAAAGAAAACTAAGAAATCTTACTTATCGAGGGTCAAGAAGTTTGTTTGGACAATATTGAGACGTTTATCGGCCACCGAGTAGAGACGAGATTTCTCATCTAAATCTTCACAAGTATATTCGAGTTGCTGTTCTTTGAAAAAATCTTGAGCAGCTTCGGCAGCACAATCAGCACCATAGACTTCGTAGCCTTGTTCCCAGAAGTATTTCATGTCGATCACTTTACCGCACATTGGGAAAAGCATACGAGATCCTTTTCGTCCATCGAGTAAAAGATGTTCGTACTTGACCAATGTTCTAAATGAGATTATCAAAGAACAAGGATAAATAATCATTCAAAAATCACCTTGGTAATATAAAGAAAATTAAAACTCACGGATTTCGATGGGTCAAATGCCAAGCAGTATCTCGAGCTGACCAGAGGTCTTTCCACATTCCGGTATAATTATCGGCATTTTTAAGATCATCCAAATTTTCGTTAATCACTTGAGTGGACATTTTGGAATTAACTTCAATTTTAGTAACAAAGGAAAAGACAATTGGTTAACTTTTGGAAATCTAAAGTTTTTTACTTCTTTTTTTTCTTTCTGGACTCTAATAGGTTTACCTTTCGGTCAACACAATTAACTAATTGTGATCAACACTTTTGGTTTTTATATCGAATCAAAAAAACCAAGCACTCCCATTATACAAAAGGAGGAGTCGACTGAACATTTTCCACTCGTTATATTACATGATTATTATTCAACAATCATCACCATCAGACTGGAGACAATTCATCAGCTGATAATAATCTCAATTGTCGGGAAAGAAAGAATATTAAACACAAAATAAGTGGAACAATTAGTTAATTTTAAAAACAAGAAAAGAAACAAATCGAAAATCCTTTCAGCCTTGAACTTTTAAAATTCGCGTTTATTTTTTCTAACTCGTTCTCATGTCCAACTTATCATTTTTCCTTTTAAAATATTCAAACTTTTCTCTCTCTCTCCTTTTTTTTATATAATCGAAATTCAAATTGTTGATTATCAGTTAATTCTGACAATTTACATATAATCGTGTTAATCACATTGAAAGATCATACAAAAGGCTAATCAGATCTATCTTTCCACTTGGTGTTCGAGCTGGACTAATCCGTTACTTTGATTGTTTGGTCTAAAAATTTATGCTACGTGAACCTTTTGATCCTTTCATTAAGATGATTTTCCAACAATTTACTATTTAATCAACTAATTGTTGATAACCATGATAAACGACCTCTTTGTCTTGTATCATATTTTGTAATAATTTAATTTCTACAGAAAAACTTTAATCCAATTCGTTACCTTGATTGTTAATCTAATCACTTTAGTCACCATTATACTAAACAATATTATCTTGTTATGGTTTAACAAATTGTTGGAAAAACTTTTTTTCTTTAATCATTAATCAAGAAAGTTGAATAATCTTTTGGACCACTGACCGATTCAATGACCCACTTGATATTTAACATTAACCATTTAATCATAAATGAGAAATGAGTTATCTTATTGTTTAATTAAAAAGTTAATTGTTATATTGTATGACAAGCGTTTACAATTGTCCAATTAATTGTTATTTTCAATTGTTTTCATAACTCCCAACCCAATCAACTAACAATTAAACAATTCGAACCTTGGCCGGATCAATTTAATTGCTCCGGATATTGTAGCAATTAAACTTTGACAGGTTATTGATTGTCAGTTTATTCAATTAAACTAATTGTTGACAATTAATTTCCTCTGTTATTTTGAAAAATTGATTTTCGAACCAAAAAAAACTGGTTATCCCTCTGATCATATGGTCTCACTTGTTTTTCTTGTTGTTGTCAACAATTTGTTTACTTTTTTAGTTCAATTGTGTTAATTAAATTGTTTCGATGCTTTTTATCCAATTAATTAACTCTTATTTATCCTTAATCTCAATTAGTTAATCTTCTTCTGGAAATCTGATTAACTGATTAATTCGTTTCACTTTAATTTACCTTTTCTCTTTTTCATTTTCTATTACAATTACATTATAGTGTTTGATTACAATTCTAAATCTTTTTCATTATTCTATTTAATCACAATTAGATTATCGGATTTACACGTTGAATACACTTAATTAAAGGTAAGTGTCAATCAATTAATTGAAGATTATCGCCTTAATTGTTATTGTTTTAAAAGAGATGAACAATATTGATGGTGATTAACTTTCAACCTCTATAATCATCATTAGTTTTTACAGCTGATTTTTAATGTTTATTTTTTATTTCTAATTGTATTATCACAGATTAACCGATTAATGGATTAAAAGATTAATTAGTATTTGATAAGCCACAATATCTTCAATTGGAATCATTTTAAATCATAATGATTAGATTTGGGTTAACATACATAATCAAATCAGGTTGTTGTTTAAGCTTTCAGTCAATTCTAGTGAAACAAAGCAACACTAAATTACCAAGATTACTGGGATCATTTTCCTATTCATCGTCTCAACAATTAAATTCCGAGGCTACAATTAAATCAATTAATCCATTGTGTCCACCATCTCAAGGTTTATCATCGTCAATCTATTATAATTTGGTGTCACCCACAAACCGATACTTTCACACCATGAATGTAGCAAGAAATAAGGAGCAATCATCAGTAAATCATTCATCGTCTTCAGGTGATAATCAGGAGCATGGAAATGACTTGAAAAGTCAACAAGGTCAAATGACAATCGATGCTAATCAACCTGTCGATCCAAAGGATAAAAAAGGCCGATTCAAAGTCTTAATTCGTGATTATGGTTTAACTGCCGTTATTTTCCATGTGACAATTTCGTTAGCATCTCTTGGAATTTGTTATCTTTTGGTTAACAGTTCACTTCCAATGGATCAGATATTCACTTGGCTTGGAATCGATAAGAAATTGGGAAATTTGTCCGATGCCGCGTCCACTTCAACCAATTTCGTGGTTGCTTATGCTGTTCACAAAAGTATGGCTCTAATTAGATTGTCAATTACCGCCGCTTGTGTGCCCATAATTGTCCGGTATCTTAGGTCAAAGGGGATAATTAAAACGGTTGGTAAAGTTGCTAAGAAAGTAGATTAAATTTAATGGTAAATTTTAATTCTCTAGATTGAGTAACCTTATTTTTTATGTAAATCTTACTCGAAATGTAATACAATAAGTAAATTAAGCAATATGATTTTTTTTGTAATCGTTGATGAATTTTGGGCATTTTTTATTATTTATCTTCGTCTCAATACTCAGGTGATTGACTAGTTGTTTCGAGAAATGAAATGAAAACTAACTTGGGAAACTCTGTCATATATCGAGTTGACTAAATCAGTGGATAACTCGGCGAGAGTTACTCCGAATACTGTATAGCAAAAGGAGAAACTGGCCAATCATTACTTCACTCAATATGCAATCAAAATTTGAGATACTAAGCAACCGTTTCACACGATCTATTAATACTCAACGGATCGAAAACAATAAACGGATGTCCAAAGATCTTGTTCTGGTTCCCGAGTTGTTTCTTCTAACGGGATTGTCAGAAAATAAGAAAAATGGCCTCAACTTTCGCTAATTGGATAAACACGTTCAATTGGATACACCACAACAAACTAATTCACTGAGAGACTTTATTTGGAAAATGATGACAAATGATAAAGTTATGGAAGAAATGAACGAACGAATCCGGAAACCCGATCAAAGTACTGGATTAATTTTGGGACCAGAAAAATGCTAATGTGTTATCGAAGCGCTGATTATGGTATTCTTTACCATCAGAAGACAGGATCATTCGAGCAGTACCACTATGAGAGAGCGTGAGAGGTCCCATTACCATCGAAAATTGAATTGTTGTCATTCCTATGAGAGATCAATCTATGGTTGGACATGTTAGAATGAGTCGCAGGTCCATTGGGTCTTGCAATTTATATTCAAAATTTGGTACCTGGAAAATGATCGAACCCAAATTTATCTTACTACTTGCCGATCAATTCCATCTACCGCTAAATTGGCAAATGTGATGATTCTCAACAACATGGAAATCTACTTTTTTCTTAAACTTGTCCGAGAAGAAACAGCTTTCAATCCAAGTTCAATTAGAACTAATTGTGAAAAATTCTGTAGTCAATCGAGTTGAGCAATTCAAATAGGAACTCAATCAAACCGATAGATAACTCTGCGAAAGTTACTGGTAAACGGTGTAAAGTAATTAAAAGGTATTTTAATTAGAAGTAATCAACTTTCTCTTTATTGCCATTGAGTGATTTTCAGTTTTTTTTTTCGAGCCACATAAACACCAGGGCAGTTGGAATACACTTAATCTAGAGATTTAAATCGTTGTAAAGGAATGAGAATAGATTGTTGAACATTGATTCGTGTTGATTAGTTGTTGATACACTGATTGGATAATAATAATAATCATTTTGGTTAACATTAAATTCAATGAGGTTGATGATTGGTTTTCTGTTGATATTGTAAATCCAAGCGAGAGTCTTAATTATTCATGTGGCCAGTGATCAATCATTTTTTGCTATTATCATATTCCTTTGATTATTTCATTTTTCACTCTTGATTGTGACAATACCACGACTTTTTTAAAACTCTGATTAACTGGATCGTGTGTGCTTCAGCATAAATAATATATTTATATGTAACTTTTTTGTTTTCTATCTCTTTTTTTTGTTTATCATTCATGAAACAATTAAATCCACCTTATATGACACTTTCTGTAAGCTTGTCCGTGAATCACTGTCACTCTCACAACACAATTAAAAAAAATATTTAAAGAGTCCTTAAAATCTCATTTATTTGAAGATGCTCCGGTTATTTCAGGATAATAAGGTGTAGGTACAAACGTTTTTCCTCTGGTAATTAGTAATATGAGAATAGAAGAGAGAGAGAGAGAGATAAAATGGAAGAGAAGAAAAAAGAAAATTATATTATTAGATAGATTCCTCCCACGGGTAAACCCAATAATTGATGATTGCAATAAATGGGTAGAGAAAAATCAATAGCAATTAAAATACTTACGTAATAGTTTTCTTTTCTGTCTGACGTTCAGGCCGAGCTCGATTGAGAATTTTAAGGAACTCTGAAGTTTTAGCTCTCATCCTAGAATGTATATAAACTTTTGAGCATTTGATGTGGTAATGCAAATAATCACGGAAAATATGTATCAAATTAATTGTATTATCTCGAGATTTTTTACTAGTATGTCGAGGGAATAGAACGAAAGTAATGTAGCCAATTTTATCACCAGCAAGAGCATCGGTGTCTTGAAGCTCCATGGGTGGTTCTTTGTGACTGAATAAAACATGGGGCGCAGTGTGACTCGCTTTACGCCCTTCTTTGAATTCTTGCATGAAAACCTAACGAAGTGACAAGAGAGGGAGAGGGAGAGAGAGAGAGAGAGAATAATGTTAAAAGAAATGAAATTGTATTGATGATGGAACAAAGATAACAATCAAGTGGTGAGAAGAAAATTTCTTTTCAATGAAACGGCCAAAGTTTTCGAATAAGAAAACATAATAAAACAAAAAGGAAATGGAGACTTTTTCATCTCCACCTAAATTTGAGATATTTAATAGAAAAATTTTCTAAATGAAATATAATTGGAGGAGTCATTGATATCCAATTTCCTATTTAAAAACAAAGAGAGATAAAGTTAATCAAGAACATCCCGTTACTTTGGAGAGAAAGAGAGAGAGAAATACTAGAAAACTCTATCACAACCATACAAGGTAATATGTTTGTTGATTTTGTTGCTTCAACGATGGCAATCAAGTCAATTCCTGTTTCAAAATAATAAAACGACTAATTTGGCGAAAGTAAATCATCTAATAAGCTGATGTATTCAATTCTGACAATATTAAGCTTGATGATTGTTAAGATTAATTTATACTAAATAGGGAAAACTAAGGGAACCATAAAAATCTATGACTAAATTAGATTAACTGTATGGACGATTAAATACAGAGAAAAGCCGGTGGTACATTTTTACTTATCATTGGAATAGAAATAAACTTGTTATCCACTTGATTTTTATCTAATTGTTGAATAGATCTCAACATACCTTTCCAATAATAACATCCGATTCATCCTTGAAAACGGTGCTGAAAATAACGGTTACCCTGTCAGGTTTGGCTTCCACATACATGGTTTCATCTTCTCTATAATGGATAACGGCTCGTTTGCCTTCTTCTTGACCTTTCTCTTGAAATTCAAAATATTTCTCAAAAACTGAGGCGAAACAGTTTCTTTTCAAAAGTCCAGCTTTCTTAACTAATTCCTGGTGATTTTCGGGTAAATTTTTCAAATCAAATAACAATGTAACATTGTAACCTTCTTCTGGAGGTAATTGCAATAACGAGCCATATTCTCGTTGAAGTAAATCATCAGCTCCATGTTCTTGTAAATCTTTATAAAATTTGAGAGCAATGCTAACCCTTATTTTATATTTGTCATCCTTCAAATTGGAAATGTGGAAAATAACACCATCAAAATCAGCAAAGGTAACATCAACCAGCTCTAATTTTGAATTTGATCTGAAAAGAAAAAGATGGACAATTTAAGTACGAATGAAAAGACAAACATAAACATGGAAGATGATCAAAACTCAGACCCAACCAGAAAAAAAGAGGAAGAGATGGAGAGAAGAGAGAGAGAGAGAAAGACCAAAAAAGAGAGAAGAAAAAAAGACACCGCCAGACAGAGAAATGAAAGAGGTTAATTGTGAGAACAGTTTGTTTAAAGAGACATAATTTAAGGCCAAAGAATATTGAAATTATTATCTTACAATCAACAAGCAGTTAAGAAAAATATTAAATGAATCATTTAGGTGTGAATATTATCAGCCTAAGATAAGCTAATGATGAGGAGAGAAGAGGTAAAATCATCAATGATAAATGATGTTGGATAATTTCTGTTACTCAGAAAGAAATGGAAAAAAATATACTTACTCAACTTCACTAATTTTGTAACTTAATGTATCTTCAATTGTTTTATTATTAATTTCTAGAAGAATCATTGTGATTAAACAAAATTAAATGATTAATAAACCATAAAGCACTAAATGTAAACAATAAATCAACACAATTAAAAATCTGAACAAAACTCAAATCAGAAAAATTTGATTACCAATTGCCGGACTTTCGACCCTAAGGCCCTCTGGTGTTCTAACCACAACTTCCATATTTGAGGCGCGATTTTCAATCCATTAATTGTTTGGAAAATTAATTTTCTAATTAATTTTGAGAGAAAATTAATTAATCATTTACATAGAGAAGATTTTTTTTCTTTTTTTTGAAAGATCAAAATTTGATTGAATTTCCTGTCAATCAAATTTGGCCCTACTGATTCGTGCAATTGAAATGTAATCACAATTAAAATCGGAAGTAATTAAAGTGAATAAAAAAAAACAATTAATAAATCAAAAGGATATTAATTAATGTGATGTGATCGTAATTACTTTTTATATGATTTACTTTAGTTTGAAATAAATGATTAGTGAACCAAATCAACTAATCATCATTTTTTTTCAGGGTCTACAGTTGATTTAATTAGTTGATTTTTGCTTCTACTGTGATTCTAATGAGCATTAATTAGAAATGATTTAATTTTCCTTTTCTTGTATTGATCAGATTAATTAATCTTGTTAATCAAATTATTAGATGTTGAAAAGGAAACTGATTGGTCAACCATGATAATATTGAATAATTAACTTTTAATTGAAACCAAAAAGTATATAAAAGGATTTGATTTGATTTACTAATCCATCACAATCATATTGTAAGCAATTTAATCAACAACAGTAAATTTTTTTATTGAATTTGAATAATAAAAAAACTTCAAAATCATCATGAATTCATCAACAATCAACTTTATCTTTGCTTGTGTCATTTTAACTGTCATCGCTTTTTCTGGTAAGACAATTAACTGATCAATTCCCTTTAATTGTAATGCAATAGAAAAATAATTTTTTATTCTAATTGAATCTCTGATAATTTAATAGTCAATGTCGCTGAAGCCAATCGTCGAAGTGGATCTGGTGGATCAATCATTATCATGGGCGGACAAGGTCAAGGTCAACATAATTATATTCCTTATCCAGTTATGATGTCCGGTTGGGGTTGTGGTCACTCAAGCTTTGGACATGGTTCATTTGGACACGGATTCAAACGTTAAGAGTAAAAAAAGAAAACGGACTAATTTTCATTCAATTTCTACCAAATGACCATAATCACCTCAAATCTGATAGAATAATTTATCCATTAACTTTTGTAATCCAATGAATTAAAAGTTTAATTGTTTTGTTTTCTAGAAAATTTAAATTCGACGTTTTGTTCAATTTTCCCGCGCAAAACAAGCGAAGTTTCGATTCACTTCAACAGGTGGAGTTTGAACAAAGAGCATGTTGATTGAGAGCGTGAATGTAATTGTGTATCCGGAATAAGATGATAAATAGTCTGGTTTGCAGATCACTTTTTCACAATCGTTTAGTTAACGTCGCCTTTACCCGTTCCTTTGTTACCAAGTCCAGTGTTTTGTGCTCATTACCTGAAAAAGAAAAGAAAAATATGGCTAATCCACGAGTTTTCTTCGATGTTGAAGCTGACGGTGAAAATCTCGGCAGAATTGTCATGGAGGTAAAGTAACAATCTATTAATTTGGTTGATTTAATTTCTCTTTCTTATTCTTCTCTTTGTTTAAAAATTATGGGCAGGTCATTATGAAGATGATGGTCTCTGACCAAGGAGTGTCCTATATATAGAATGACTTTGAAAGAACAAATTTGCTTTTCTCTTCTCCATTAATTTTTAAAAAATTTTCTTTTCTCCCTTTTTTTTTCGTTGCTTCTTTTTTTTTCTTTGTTTAGTTACGACCTGATGTTGTTCCCAAGACAGCCGAGAATTTCCGAGCTCTATGTACCGGAGAAAAAGGTTTCGGTTATAAAGGATCAATTTTCCATCGAGTTATTCCAAATTTCATGATTCAAGGAGGTGATTTCACCAAGCACGATGGAACTGGTGGTAAATCAATTTACGGAGAGAAATTTGCTGATGAAAACTTCCAACTTAAACACACCGGCCCTGGAATCCTTTCCATGGCTAATGCTGGCCCAGGAACTAATGGATCACAATTCTTCTTAACTACCGTTAAAACCTCTTGGTTAGATGGTAAGCACGTTGTCTTTGGCAGTGTCGTTGAAGGTATGGACGTTGTCAAGAAGCTCGAAGGCTTCGGAACCCAAAGTGGAAAACCCAAGAAGAAGCTCACAGTTACCAATTCTGGCCAACTTTAAATTCGCCAAAAAAATACAATCACAATTACAATTAGAATTTAGATTCTCTTTTTTTTATTTTCTCTAAAATCATTTATCATCAACATTCTAAAATGTTTTGATAACTGAATTCTCTCCGAATAAAGAACTGAATTAGTTGAATCGATTTTGTTGTACAATTCATTCAATTTATTTATCATTACAATTAGTTAATAGTTACACAACTTTACAAGGTGACCCCGATTCTGTTATTCACTAAACGGATGAATTTTTTTTGTTTCTTTGGTTGTGATTACTTGATAAGATTATTTAGATTGTTTGTTAATTTTACTTAGAAAATGGAGTTTACTGTTATTTACAATTCCAAAGTCTTTGATTGTTCTAGAATTGTCAAGTAACCGTAGACCATTTAGACACAAATCATATCTTTTCCAGAAACACTTCCAACTAATTTTAGTTTGTAATTTAACATTTGATCGCTTTAGATGTTTGGTAAAATAGAATTGTAATGATTTCTTCAAAGCGGAAATAGTTGATTCTTTATCGGTTATTAATTCAATTTCCTGACCATCGTATCTTTCAACAATAATTTTCCAACATCGACCTTCATGTAGACCAACAATATCTTCTAATTCCTTTAATGATACATCACTAGGTAATCTTTTTAAAACAGGATCAATTTGGGTTAATTTCTCAATTTGTTGTTCAATCTTTTCTAACTGATTGTCCAATTGTTGATTGTTCATCTTTTCCATTGGTGTTTTGTTTAACTCCTTCAGCTCTTGAGTTTCCATCTTTGGTAACCAAATCAATCTCATCAGAAAACCCAATTTTTCCATTCTTCAGCAGCCATTAATCCATTATCCATTCTACACTTTAAATAAGACTTAATTTCTTCTCGACAATTAATTGTAACAGCGTCATTAACACGAAGACATTTAAGGTAAGCGACTAATGGTTTTCGACAAACACCATCGTGATCGAGAGGAAAACTACCCTTGTCAGGAGCTTTAGGCACTGAACGACTACTGCCAAAGGGCACAGACATGAAAAGGAATCTCAATTAATTAATTGTAAGAACGAAGAGAAATTAAAACTTGATTAGAAAAGAAAAAGATTGAAAGTGAAAAAAAATTCTCCAGATGATCAGTTGAAGAGAAATTCGCTCACCAGGTAGGGTTGATGTTCTTCTTGTTGATGTTGTTCAATTTGAGAAAATTTGAGAAAATTTGATCAGAATTAGAATTAATTAAATTTATGTGATTTGTTTTTCTAATTTAAATATTAGATGAAATTAAATTAACGTCGAATTTTAGTTTCTATTTTGAAGTTCCTGTTGTAAGAAGAATCGAAAATCTATTGTCTCTATTAAGAGGTTTGGTTTATCTCTTTTACTGTGATTGTTTTGTTGTTGTTGTTTGGAGATTAATTTAATTGTGGAACTTTTTTTCAATTGGAATCATGGCTTCAGCAGTTACTTCTACTAGTGATTTACAAGTTACATATGAAGATCAAAGTAAAATCAATCGTTTTGCTTGTCACAATTCTAAATTAGAAGAGATCAAAGAGGAATTGGTTAACAAAGAAAAGGAACTGAAAAATATAGAGGAATCAATTGGAGAGATGGACTTGTATTCAACTCTGAACGATGATGAAGGTTTCAACATCATGGAAGGTGAAATGTTTGTTCACTTCACCGGGGAAGAAGCGTTGGAATGGGTGAACAAGAAGAAGGAGGAATTGAGCCGAGAAGTTTCCACCATGAAAGATGAAGTTGATCGATTACGGGAAGAGATGAACAACCTGAAGACTGATCTCTATGCTAAATTTGGTCGAAATAATATCAATTTAGAAGCCGATGAACAATAAGATCATTTTTTTACTTAAATTCACGGAAAATGAAACCCGATTTTTGGATAAACGCGGAATAAGTTATCGACAGTAAACATTTCAATGCAAAAATGAGTTTTATTTATCTTTTGGTTACAATTAAATTTATTTTTAAACTTGATCATCTTCATGGCGATAATTGTCTTTGGTCACTTTAATTTATTTTTCTTCATCTCAATAACGATGGTGTCGGTGTTTTGGTCTAGAATGAGCTCGAATCCTGGAAAACGATCTGGACTGTGGCTTCGATCTTGAAGGTGATGAACGAACTCTGGAATCAGACTGCAATTGTTGAATGAATCGATTAACATCATCGTCGTAATTGTCATCACTCGTTGAACTTTGATAATAAGCTGCTTGTGTCGAGTTGAAGTATTGACCGAATGAAAGTTGATTAAATGGAGCAAAAATCGGCGGTTGCATATAAATGTAAGGCGATTGACTGAATGCGAAATTATCACTCATCGCAAATCTTTTCGGCGAAGGTTCATCGGGAAATAAAGGAAGATTTCTTGGATAAGGTGGTTGATTTTCATTCGGATTTTGTTTATTTGATTTAAGAGTTGGAATTGATTGTCTTTGATTTTCAGGTTCGCAAATTTTTGTTTCGACCTCTGAAGATTTTGAGACTTTATCGGCCAACGAACAGGTAGTTGATGGAATTGCGGCTGCAGCGGTAGTTTTATCGGTCGTTGTGTTGATCGAATCGTCGCAAATTGATTCTTTTTCGGGTTTCGGTTGTTGTTGTTGAGATTTTTCTGAGATGAATTTTTCTACTTTCAAACGTAGACTTAAAACCGGGATTATATTTTCGGGTTCTATCTCCGTCTTGAGACATGATGGACATTGACTAGTTTGGCATAATTCCATTCGCAAACACTCATCGCAAAAACTATTTGCACAACAAGGCGAGAAAACGGCCTCTCGAAGTAGATCTTCACACAAGGAGCATTTTAATTGTTCAGGAATTTTCTCTTTGGATTCATTTTCGACTTGATGTTGATTCACCGGAGCTTTTTTATTGACCTTTTTCTCAGAATAAACTTGAAGATCGATACGTGGAATAGCAAATCCACTGCCTGTTAGCAAGGCTCCTTTTTGTTCAGCACTAACTGGAACCATGAAGCTCTTGGGTATACCTGAACTCCTCTTTATGCCCTTATTATAAGTTGGACATTGTTTGATGTGGTGACCTGGTCGATTGCACCGATAACAAGTGTAGTTCGGAGGTAAAGGTCCAACAACGTTATAGTTTTTCGAGTATCTTGTTGGATCATATTCTTGAGTTGAATGATGAAACATCGCTTCAATACTTTCTTCCTCTGTGGCTTCTGAAAGATTAGAAGATTTTATAATTTCTTTGATTGAATCGTATCCACGTTTATGGGACTTGGAACGAGTTGAGGTCTCATTATTGAAACGTTTCTTGTTGACGGAAGTAAGTGGAATCCGAACAACGATTACACTTGTATTCCTTGGAATGAACTTCTCATCAGAATCATATTCTTCCAAATCTTCACCCGTAATGATGAGATCAGTTGTAGAAGAGTCTATTTTTTTATCGGCAAAAATACACTTTTTAAATTGGCCAACAGAAATTGACACATCATCAACAGGTAATCTCTCTGATTTGATGTCACCTTTGAACTTATAATGGATTGACATTTTCAACGAAACAAATGATAAGAAAAATTGACAATTTAAGTTTGTACTAAGAAGTCGATTGGTCAAATGAATAAAAATCTATTATTGAACGAACTTAAATACTAAAAGTTTCGCACGCGCTGATCGTTCATCTGAAAAGAAAGTCAATTTAAATGAATTAATCTAAACTGTTTAGATGAAAATGCTTAATCAGATTATAATCGAGATGAAGCCTTAATCCATTCAATATTTTAATCTCGAGGATTAACACAAAGACTTATAAGGTAAAAGATTAAAGGATTTAGACAAACGCCATTGTGGTCGAGAGGAAAATTAACCACATCGGGAGCCTTAGGCATTGATCGACTTTTGCCTTAGGGCTTAGACATGAAAAAGAGTTTCGGATTATTAGTTAGTGGTGAAAAAAAAGAAAAGAATTAAAAGAAAATTAAAAGGTAATCAAGAATTACTTTCGAATCTATAAACTTTTATGAGCACCCGATAACCTAATCGATTCAATTAGCACAAACGTTTTTCGCTTCAACATGTATTAGTGTTTGTAAAGATCGTTTTTTAGTGGCCTTTCACCTTCCCGGCTTTTTAACTTAGAGCTGTGGTGTAAATATCGATTTACGAATTGTGGTTAATTACAATTAAGACGAAAAATTAAGACAAAAATCTCATTTTTGTTGACAATTTGATTGTTCACTAAAATCACCTTCTTAAGTTGATTTAGAGCTAATTTGATATTGTGATGATAATTTAATTCAGTTGTTTACATTTGATCCTTTTGTCTTATCCCAATCAAAGGTAAGACAATTTACCATTTTTGATTAGAACAATTAAATCCTAGAATTAGAGTTTCAAGATCACTGTTTTCGAATCTAAAATTGAAAAGTTAACCACGAAATCTTAATTTAGATGGAAAAGATCAAGAATTAAGGTCTAATTATTTCAGATTCAGTGCGAATTCATAATTAATTAATCGGCGTTCTAGTCTATCAGAATGATGTAATTTAATTCATTCTTACAAAAGTGATAAGAAAATTAATTAATTGGATATTTTTCATTGAGAAAAGAGAGTAATTAAAATTGAACAATTAATTCTAATTCAAGTGTATCAAGAGAAATTAAATCCAATAGAAATCAATTGATATTTAAGCCAGAAATTAGATCAATGATTAGAATTTTTTTTGGACAATTAGGTTGATTGATTAAATACTAGTCGATTGTTGCATCATGTTCGTAATGGACAAACTCGAAGGAAAAAAAGTGAGAAAAGAGGAAAAAAACATATTCGAGATTAGAACTGATCTAATATGAGTTTTGTGTTTACTAGGATAAAGTTTCCAATTTACAACAATTACAATTAACGGATAAAATTTCATCATTTGATTAACAATATCCAATTATTGTAAATAACTAATTACTTTTCTATTGAATATCCAATAACATTAAAAATCATAATCCTTCATTGATTGTTGAGCTTTTTTTAATTTGCCTTTTAATTGTTGTGTTAAGATTAAAATTGTCAATCAATCACAATTTGTTCACCATTTTTATCGCCAATTAAAATTGTCGACGAGTTAATCATGTCGGTTAAAAGATCGAAATCTAATCTTGGATCATCTAATAAAGCGTTGGTACTATTTACGGCCAAAGATCTGCGACTGGAAAATGTACCGTTACCAAACCCTCCGGGTCCCGGCGGTAAGTAATTGAAGCATTTAACTAATTGCGATTATTGTTAAGACTTAATTTAATTTTCTAATCTCTTTGAAATAAATAATTTAGAGGTTCAATTGAAAGGTGAATATTGTGGTATTTGTGGTACTGATGTTCACCTTTGGCAAGAAGGTAAACTTGGTACATTTGAGGTCAAAAATCCGTTAATCTTGGGCCATGAAGGGTCAGCAACGGTCATTGCTGTCGGGGAAAATGTCCACGGTTTGGTGAAAGGTGATAAGGTCGCCATTGAAAACGCTATTCCTTGTTGTCAATGTAAGTTTTGTCTTCGAGGTACTTACAATTATTGCGACGCTTGTATGGTTCAGTGTAAGGGTTTACCACCCGCCGATGGTTTGATTCAACAATATTACAATCACCCCGCTGCTTTTGTCCATAAGTAAGTAAACACTCACCTAATTGTCCAATCAAATAGTCCGATTATATAATTATTGATTGATTTTCTTTGAGTAATAATAATATTCAATTCTCATTGATTTTCAAGTCAATATTAGTTGAACATGATAATAATCATGTTTGTGTACCATGATTGTTAATCAATATTAACCAACTGAACTGAATTGATTTGATTGATAAAAATAGGAGAAAATGATTAGTTTGATTACTACGATTTAATTTCTTCACTTTCAGAGTACCATCGACTTTAAGTCTCGAAGTCGCTGCTCTTGCTGAACCTTTGGCTGTTTCGGTTCATGCTTGTAATCGGGCTAAGGTCACTTTTGGACAGAAGATACTGATCTGTGGAGCGGGAACTATGGGACTATTGACATTCTTAACTGCTAAAGCTTATGGAGCTTCAAGAGTCGTAATTCTAGGTGAGAATTTAATTTAATTTAGACAATCTAATAGCTATTTAATTGACCGAATTAACCGATAAATCGACAGACATCATGCAAAATAAACTCGACCAGGCGACTGCTCTTGGTGTCGATGGGACAATTCTGAGTGTCAAAGGAATGACCCCCAATGATTTGTCCGAAAAAGCGTTCGAAGCTCTTGGTTGCCGACCTGATATAACCATGGAATGTACTGGAACCGAGATTTGTGTTCATACAGCAATCGAAGCAACTGAGGTCGGAGGTAAGATCATTCTAATTGGATTGAACCCGAAGAAATTAGCGCTCCGATGAGCAAAGCCTCGCTGAAGGAACTTGATATTCTTGGTGTTTGTCGCTATCGAAACAGGTAAGTTAATTGTTACTCATTTTCTCTCATTCAATTTAAATCTGATTGGTAACTTTTTTTTCTGTTAACGTTGTGAACTTTAGTTATCCTCAAGCGATTGAACTGTTATCCACTAGAAAGGAGTTCGAAATGTTCATCACCCATCGTTACAAACTCGACAAATGTATGGAGGCATTTGAGGCCATGAAGAAAGGGGAAGGATTGAAAATCTTGATTAAATGTCATTAAATCGAGTTGGAGAAAGTGATCTTACTATTATGATTGAGATCTGATTTACAATTAGTTGTTATTTAATATAATTGATCAATGGTAATATTGTTGATCTAGCAAAAGTTTTATTCATCAATTAATCCAAAAATTATTCCCACTTGTTGATTGTAGTAGAATTGATGATTTGTTGAGATTGTGTTGAAAGTTGTGGTAACAAAAGATGTCGTCACTTTTTACTTACAAATTTATGACATTTAATTTTAAATCATCGTTTGATCACTACTTCACATATCACAAAATAGAACAATAAAAGTTAAATTAGAATCGTAATTTACTGAAGAACCACCGGTGTTTTCCTTCCTTGTATTTACTTTCAAATTTAGCTTTAATTTCTCGTCTTGCTTTCATTCTTTTTGATGGATCTTTAACAACATCCTTTGCCAATACACTTTTATCTAATGGGATATCCACTGCATATCGAGTTGGCATTAAATGATTGTAATTGTAAGTCTTAATGAAAGGCTTGATTCTACATCGTTTCACTTTCTTTTTCTTGGACATCCTCACTTTAATCGATCTTGGATATCGGTCAATACCGGCGACAACTGCATGTCCATAGGATCGATCTGATGTACCTTCATCGTGATTCTATCATTAAAATCATCACCAAAGAAAACAAAAACGCCAAGATAAAGAGAGAAAAAGAGAAAAAGAAAAGAAAAGAAAAGAAAAGAAAACAATTAGATTCAATAATCACACGTTGGTATCATAGAGAATCAAAGTAAAAAAAAGATGAACCATCTTACCTTTAGAACCATAGCTTTTCTTCCGGCATAACGACCGCTCAAAATGAGCACAACTTTATTCGGTTTCATTATTCTACCCATTTTGACTAAATTAATTGAGTTAATTAATTAACTCAGATAAATAAATGTTATAAATTAAAACAGAAAATAAAAATAAACAATTGATTGATTTTGATCATGAAAAGGAAACGGATGAAGATGTTAGTTGCCCAGGCAACGAAAGAGCATCTTACATGTGATACCGCGAATTTCAAACTGAAAAGAAAATTTTTTTTTCTCAATCAGTTAACCGAATTGAATGATTCATTTGTGGTTGATTGATAGTTTAGTCAAATAAATGATCAGAATTTCTCTTCAATTTAATGAATTTAATTTTAATGTAAAAAAATTAACTTATTTTCTTATCAACAGGTTGAGCTTTTAAATTAAGAGAACCGATTGAACAATCATACTCGATATTTAATTGAACTTGAAAATCTTTTGGCAAAAAAGTTGCAACTGGAGATGTTTGAATAATTGACATTCCTTGTTTCCAATTCCTATTCCATGAGACATATTGACCCTTTTTAATTGTTTCCATTGGACCAGAGTTCAAAATTTTATTCGCAAAATCAAATTCAGCCCAAAAAGTTAAACCCAAATTGTTGTATTCATTTGGTCCATCGATTTTAAATAATTTCTCAAATGTGTATTTAGATTTTTTGGTTAATTTTTCAAGTCGAAAATCAAATTCGAAAACTGTCTCTGAGTTATTTGTTAATGCTTTACAAGGATATTCCCAGAGTGATTGTGGTTCGATTGGAGTGTCACTAATTTCTCGAGCTTTTTCAATTAGATTATCAAAATCGGTTAAATCAAATCCTTCAACCGATTTACCCAATTTAGCTTTTGTTTTCCATAGATGATCAAATGATACAGGTAACATTTTAATTCTTCCTTTGCTTGGGAAAATTTTCGTTGTCATTGTTACCATTCCCTTTTCGGCCATATCACCAATTAAATACCAAAAGTGAAACGCATCCCAGGGTAAAATTATCGAATCGAAAAATGGTTCACCCAATATGATATCAAATTGAATTTGTTCAATCTGTTGAATCTCATCAACAATCACCAACCGATTAAGTATTTCATTACTACGACCAAACTCCTCATAGAAACGACTATTCATAGTTTGATCTCTTTTCAGAACGTAAACTTTACCAGTTTCATGTAAATCTTTAGCCACTAGAATAGGAATGAGACTTGCATCACCAAGGAAGAGAATGTTTAAATCACGTTTACCATTAATTTCGGTGAAAATTGGTGGATAAATTGTTGACAATACTTTTTCATCGGTCATCATTCTAATACGATTTCTACTCAAATCATTGTGTATTCCACAGGAGCAAAAATTTGATCTATTGGTTGATCGAGTTGTACCAATATCGAACCAGAAACTGTACTCATCATGATAACAGTTTAACTTGAAAATATCTTGAACTTCCATAGTGAATGGTTTATAATAAGCAGGAAGATAATAAATTGCCTGCATCCAGTGATCTCTCCATGGGATCTTATTTTTTGCCCCACCAATACCTTTGGTTGGATGAGCCCAATAGGGAGCACAAGTTAAAACAAATTCGGCTTCATCGTCCATCAACAAGTCCCACCAGAAAACGATATTGACAAACTCTCCAATCAATGGTTTCTTCAAGACAAATTCAATTGTTGTTTGATCATCATATTTCAATGATTCGATATCCGAGAAATCAAAAGTAAAGGCAACCACCGGGTCCGAAATTAGATCAATATCCTTTCCTAAAACCAATTGATTAGCTTGAAGATCATGCAAGTGATTGGAACCATAACAATGAGTTATAGCAGAGGGAATAGAAATGTTCAACTTATTTCCATCAATTGAAATTCCTCTTGGAGCTAAACAATGGCCATTATTTAACCAAGGTGATTTAACCAATTGTACCCAAATTCTTGCTTTATGAGGAACAACAAGTGGATTAGGTTTACAATGATTTAACAGAGCAGTTTTAAACACTCTCAATGCTCCTTCGCCAATTAGCTCAGTGTCAAAAACTTCACTCACTAAAAGAGAAGCTCTTTCCTCTGGTTCCAATACTTCGGCCTCGTCGGATCGGCTTTCAATCACCTTTATTGACTTTGAATATCCATTGGTTTCGATCACTTTTTTGGCACATTCAGCCATCGCCGGGAAACATTCAAATGCGTTAATCTCAACAGATCTTTTTAACAAGCTAAGTTGACGAACAACCATCATCGATAATAATCCAGTTCCAGTTCCAATGTCAATGGCTCGGATTGTATCTGGTTCACGTTCAACTAACTTTTCACAACACTTGGCAATCGCTTTATTGTAGAGAATATTCCTCTCTTGGTCCCAAAGCATATCACCATAATCAGATCTCGCTATTTCTTGGACATAATCATACACTTCAGGAACATAAGTCCATTCAAGATTACAGGTTAACGGATTAAATTTCTGGACAAAGGCAAGTCTTTTGTCGATATTCATTGTAAGAGGTGGAGAGAGAATTCTTCTAAATGGACACTTTAATGAAGATAAATTATTCAACAGTAATGACATTTACTTTTAACCACAACGGTTAATCAATTTAAAACATTTTCTTAATTGTGAATTTTAAACTAACAATGTGATTGAATTGGAAAGAACATACAACCAGCGACATCTCTTGGTGGAAGAAAAAAGAACAACTATCAATGTATCGATCACTTTTCTCACCGATTGTTTGTTTTTCTGATTTTTATGAAAATTAAATTAAATTGAGTTGATTGGAAAATTGTTTTGTAAGTTCATTTGATTAGTCTGATTGATGTTCGAATATTCGAACTTGAAATTGGTTTTGTGATTATCGTTATTCTGTCTTGTTTTTTGTGTTTGATTGGAGCTTGGATTTTGTTGTTAATTGAGTTTGAGACTTTTTGAGATAAGCCGAGGAATCAATTGGGGTTAGTTAGAAATTAAGTTATGATCACGAAATGGGGGAAAAAAGTAATAGAAACAGTTTGTGATATTGATAGTTGATAACATTTAATTGGTTGTCATTTAGAATCGTAATTTACTGAAGAACCACCGGTGTTTTCCTTCCTTGTATTTACTTTCAAATTTAGCTTTAATTTCTCGTCTTGCTTTCATTCTTTTTGATGGATCTTTAACAACATCCTTTGCCAATACACTTTTATCTAATGGGATATCCACTGCATATCGAGTTGGCATTAAATGATTGTAATTGTAAGTCTTAATGAAAGGCTTGATTCTACATCGTTTCACTTTCTTTTTCTTGGACATCCTCACTTTAATTGATCTTGGATATCGGTCAATACCGGCGACAACTGCATGTCCATAGGATCGATCTGATGTGCCTTCATCGTGATTCTATTATTAAAATCATCACCAAAGAAAACAAAAACGTCAAGATAAAGAGAGAAAAAGAGAAAAAGGAAAGAAAAAAAACAATTAGATTAAATAATCACACGTTGGTATCATAGAGAATCAAAGTAAAAAAAAGAGGAACCATCTTACCTTTAGAACCATAGCTTTTCTTCCGGCATAACGACCGCTCAAAATGAGCACAACTTTATTCGGTTTCATTATTCTACCCATTTTGACTAAATTAATTGAGTTAATTAATAAACTCAAATAAATAGTAATGTTGTTAGTTTGAGAAACAAACAAAAAATAAAATTTCAACAGGAAACGGATGGAGATTTTGATTAACTCCTAACAAGATTTTCAAGTAGAACCCGCGAGTTTCAAATATGGAAAAAATTCTTTTTTGCCAACGCTCAACCAAATAAAAGATTTTATTGAATTGTGACGAGAATCAATCTTCAAAAGTTTCAATTAGATATTTAAATGATATCTTTAATTAGAAATGAGGTTAATCAATTGATTTGTAATCAAAATTCGAAATTCTTTCGATATTTAAAATACGCGCTCAAAGTTCGGTTTCTCTTTGAAACGAAAATAATTTTTCAATCTCTTGTTTTGTTTTCTTCAACTTTTCCTAGTCGATTGGACCAATTTGAATTAATTTCGTTTTCTTTCACCTTAATAATGTCTTCAGAATCTTCAACTTCTATTAAATTTCTCGACCGTGAAACAATTGGTAAAATATCTGCTGGTAAAGTGATTCCAAGTCTCTCTAATGTGGTTAAAGAATTGATTGAAAATTCAATTGATGCAAATGCTACTTACATTGAAATAAGATTCGTCGATTATGGTAAAGAATTGATTGAAATTTCGGATGATGGAAGCGGAATCCAAGAAATAGACTTTCCGAACTTGGCCTTACCTCACTATACATCTAAATTAAAACACTACAGAGATCTTGGGTCCATCAAAAGCTTCGGTTTCAGGTTGGCTTATTTTTTTCTATTCTTTTTTCTTTTCTTTTCCAATTCTATTCTTTTTAACTTTGCTTTTTTCTGTCAGAGGTGAAGCTTTGGCTTCAATTGCCGAATTATCAGATTTATCGATTGTTACCAGACATAAGTCAACAGAAATAGCGAATGAGCTTCATTTCAACAACTCCGGTGAACTAATATCTGTTAAACCAACCGCTCGGCCTGTTGGGACTACAATTAGGATTAAAAGTCTATTCAAAAGTTATCCCGTTCGGAGGAAGGAATTTGAATCTACCTATTTAAAGCAATTTAACAACATGATGCAGTTTATTTATCCATATGCATTGGGATTCACCAGTTTACGTTTACTGGTCACAAATTTTGTTAATGGCCGGAAAAATGAAGTTCTCAACATTGAACCCAAATCCATCAAAGATAATATCATTCAGCTACTTGGTTGTAAACAAATGAAGACAATTCAACCATTTATTCAACATTCAATCAAAGATGAAGTAGCTGTTGAATATAAACTGTCATCTTCTTATAAAGACGATGAAAAAGAAATCAGGATCACCGGTTATGTTTCACATGGAGATAAAGCTCCTTCCAAGCTGAAAAAAGTTTATTTCTTCTTGAATCATAGACCAGCCAATTATAATCCTTTGGAAAAGTTAATTCTCTCAGTCTACAAGGAGATCAATCAAACACTTAATCCATTCGTTTTGCTTTTTGTCGATTTGGGTAAACATGAAATAGACTTTAGCGTCCATCCCGACAAAAGAACATTTTCTCTTCCCCAAGAGAATCTTTTATTCGCTATCCTTAAATCATCTCTATTATCGATGTTTGAAACAAACACGGTGGTTTTGGACTCCGTTAAACCTGCACCTTTCACAAGTACACAAAAGTCAACCAATAAACGACCACTTGATGATTTCGATGATGATCTACCAGATTTAGATGAAGACGAGATAAACACCATCAATGCTTATGTAAATAATACACTATTAAGATGTAGTTCACCAGCTGATTCGTATATGCGAACTCCAGTTTCTCAACCTGAACGAAATCAAAGTACACCAGTTAGTGCAGTAAATACGAGTTTGGATCTACACACTCAGAATTTAGGTAGATCAGAATTGAATACAAGTGATGAAAATGAACCTGAAGTTGGTGTATTTAATCCTGTTCGAAATATACTTCGAGAGTCAGAGCAAATAGAACAAGCCGATGATAATCAACAGAACAAAAATAAAAAAATTGAGAGTTTTTCAATTTTTACTAATCAAGATCGATCAGCTAAATATAGTTCTGATTTTAGTAATGGATCTAAGGCCAATAAAAGCTTCAGTAATCCTGGACTACGAAGTTTATCTCAGTTCACCTTCAATAAGAAAAAAAAGACTCAAGATAATAATAATGATCATCATCAATTATCTGTTCGCGATATTTTTTCAATTGTACCAAAATCTAGTAATTTAGATGACACAACAGATCGAAATGAGCTTGCAATTCAAGCTACACCCGAAATCACCGTTGACCTGTCATTAGATATTCCAACCACGAGCGGAATCAATCAAACTGAAACTGAAACTCAACCGAAAACCGTTAAGACCAAAAAAGTTATCACCGATGAACGATTGGTTGATATGGCCAGGAAAAGGATTCCCTATAAGTCATCAATTGACCGAAATAAACTGTTGAAATATTATGAAAATCAAAATTCCCAACCTGATGTTAGATGTTCAAAATTTTTCACCAAATTAACCGATTGTGATCAAATTCAGGCAGAGAATGAATTAAAAAGGGAAATGCAAAAGGAAGCCTTCAGTGAGATGCAGATAATTGGTCAATTTAACAAAGCATTTATAATTGCTAAATTAGATGATGATGTTTTCATAATTGACCAACACGCAAGTGATGAGCGTTACAATTTTGAAGATCTTCTTGAAAACACCGTTTTAGAATCTCAAAGATTAGTCAACCCAATTCCATTACAGTTAACATGCTACCAGGAATCAATTATTGCAAGTAACTTGGAAACCTTTGAAAGATTATCGTTTAAAATTGAAATCAGAGATGAAAATCCCCCTGGATCTAAGGTATATCTCGCCTCAGTGCCAACTAGTCAAGACGCTGTATTTGGAAAAGACGAAATCGAGGAAATCTTAGCACAAATAGAGGAAACAGGAAGTGGTTGCAACAACTATAAACCAGAGAAAATGATTAAAATGATTGCATCTCGAGCCTGTCGTAAATCAATAATGATAAACGATTCTCTTGATCACAAGAGGATGAGAAATGTCCTAAATAATCTGGTTCATTTACGAAACCCTTGGATCTGTGCCCATGGTCGACCAACAATACGATTCCTATTCAATATAAACGAGATCAAATCTCAATCAAATATGTGATAAAAAGAAACGATTAACATAAAAATTAATCATTTCCTCTTTTTTTTCTTTGTTTAAAAGGAAAGAAACATTTATTTATTTTCTTTTTGTAATTAAGGCACCGCTACAATCAATTCGTGTGTATTTCATAATTACTAGAGTTTGAAAAATTACATGATTATATTCCTGAAGAATGAAACAGGAAAAAAAAATTACGAGGAAAAAAAATGAGAAAGTCGATTGACTCATGAATTTTTCTTTGGTTTTATAGCTTTCGTGAGTCTCATGAATGAATTGAAGCCAAACATTGATGATGATTTTAAGAGAGAAAGAGATATAGAGAGAACGAAACAAAAGTTTGACCAATGGTCAAGAAACTTTCATTTCCATTGATAATTTATCAAGAAACAAAAAAAAAAGAAAACGAAAACATAATATCAATAAATGAGTAGAAATGTAAAGCTTTATATCGGCAATGATGTAATATAATATTCGAGGATAAATTTTGGTGACAAATCGATTAGCACAATAATTATGGTTTCTCACAGCAATTGATCAATAACAGGGTATAAAAGTGACATGTGCTCAGCTCCCCTGATCGGAAGTTTATTAATGGAATAATGTTTAACCATTTCCGGAATATTCTCAAAGGGTTTACTAAACACTCCAAGAACGAAACCATCAGATTGTTTAACGATCTTCATATGCATAAAACCTTTGACACTTTTAAGAGATAGAGAATAGTCTTGTTTGGTACTTTCACAGTTTCGAATTAAGTAACTGCCCTCTTTCATTTTTCGGAGTAAATTCTCAGCATCGAGTCGAGTAATTGATCCATGGTACCAACTAAATAGAGAGAAATCGAGATAATCAGAAAAAAAAGAATAAGTTAAAATGGAAACATTTTCGTTGACGAAAAGTAATAAAATGATTATCGTTAACCAGAATCTTACCCTTGCTTTTCTAGAATTAAGGTCGTATCAATATCTTCAGATACGACGGGTAAAGGTTGACCAGTGAAGGTCAGTAGTGGCTTCTTTCTTGGACCAAGACAAAGTTTAGGAGTAATTGTTGGAACTGGTGATGAATTAGCTGATGAATCAACTGTTGGAACATTTGAAAAATCAAGATTAAGATTAAGGTCAACACGTTTAGCTGATGTACTATCATTGCCATTCTTAAGATCTAAATCAATGAGAAAGAGATGAAAAGATTAGATCAATTAGTTAAAGATTAATGAGAGAAATTTAGTTGAACATAAATAATTAATTAGAGTAATAATAAGCAAGTAAACTAAATATACAATTGCAAACAAAAGGAAAAGTAATTGTCGTTATAAGAGAGTAACCAGAATGTTAATCAAATAAACACAATGTGATAAGTAAATTGGATTAAGCCAAAGGGAAGATTAAGAAACCTTAAAGATAATTTTCTTATTCCAAGTAATGGCTTCTCATTATGATTTGAACATTAAGTAAACCTAAATATCAACTGATCATCTATTAAATATACACACATAGAGAATAATAAAACCAAGTGAAAGATAATCAACATGATAATCATAAAGATAATCATCATCATCATCAACAGTCAATAGAAAGTAATCAGAAAAATATATAAGTTGTGATGAAGAAAAAAAAAAGTTTTCTTATTACCAGAATAGGGAAAATAGTAAATGAAAAGGTAAATGATTAGTGGAGAGAAGGGAAAAAATTGTTAATAGAAACAGTTAATTTGTTGGATTGAAATGATTATTCAATAGGAACAATCAACTGATCAATTTTTGTGTACAATTTAATTGCTTGAGATCGGGAAAAAAAAGTTGATGCAGAGAAGAGGGGAAAATATTAATAAGGTTTCAATTGATTGTGAACTTTTATCTGGTTTAACATGATGTTTACCAGGGTTAATCTTGTGTTTCTCTGATCCTGGAAGAGGTATAACAACAAGAATCAGAAAGATGATGATGATTACTTAGTTAATCATCATCATCACCTTCTTCATGTTCATCATTATCAACTAAATCAATCCGGTTATAGCCTAGATTTTAATAAGCTACCAACAAGGGCCTCACGCCCGCGATATAATACATTTGTACATAATAATAATATTACATGTCCAAAGGTTCCTGGGATCGGAAAGTGTTGTTAAGTGTGACTTGATGATGATCATCATCAACATCATCAAGATGAGAGAGAGAGAGAGAGAGAAAAGATAGAGAGGGAGAACCTTGAATAGGCCACCACAACTTCAATTTACCCTGAGGGCGGACCTGGGCCCAGACAAAGGTAAAAAGTAAATGTAAGAAACAAGGTTGCGAGAAAGCCTCTTCAGTGATCCCCAGGCCTACAGAGGGAAAAGGTCATTTCCCTGAGACATCAATCCGTCAAAACTTTCATATGATAATAACAAAGAGAGAGAGAGAGAGAGAGAGAGAGCTATCAAAACCAATGGGTTTTCATATTAATACAAAAAAAATCATCACAAAATCAAATTTAATCATTACAGAATCTTCATCTGGGCTTAAGATGCAAAATCAATTGCAATGGATTAGCAAATTTTGTCTAATCTTTTATAATAATAGAATGCAATTTGCAATTAAGCTGCAATGCTAATTAAAAAAACCAAAGTAAATTCAATTCATCACATTATCAATTAATGAATAGAAAAAAATAATTATCCTAATGAATCTGAGGTTTCATGCAAATATTACATCTTCCTACTCAATTGTATTAATATTAATTGCATTGATTTAGTTTTTCTCTCTCCATGATTGATTGTGTTCACAATTTGAAATGAAAAAGTTTAAATTGTGATGATTTCCAATTCTCATGAGTCACTTACACTGAATTATAACAGAAAATCATATGTTACCAATGCTTGAAATGGTTATTGAAGTAATTGCAAGATTATTATTATTATATCAAGTTGAACTATTAGAAAAGTCAATGATTGTAATTGTATCAAAATATTTGACATGATTACGGTAATTTTAATGAGTAAGATGAACATTAATCAACATGAACAATTTCAAAGTGTACTCATGGGAATTACTCTGATCATTTCAAGAAAATCTAATGTACATTAACTGTTTGCAATATAATAAAAAGCAAAATTCAATGAGAGTCATCAAATAATTTGAATTATTTCCTACGATAAATTGTCATCATTCATCTCAAGAGAATCAAAGTTAATTGTAAAATATAGTGACGACTGAGAATTTACAACATTACGGATAAAAGAGAGAAGGAGATTAATTAATTTACTCTAATTTGATTGCAATTAGAAAGGAGATTAAGAAAGAGAGAGAGAGAGAGACAATGATTATCATTAATGAGAAACTTGAAAAATGAACAATCAACAATTTTGACAATTTAAGTGTTTAAAACATTTGTAACTCTGTCAGCAGAATGTTCAACAATTTTAATTACTAGATTAACTTACTCAATGGCAATGACAATTTACGAGGTCGCTCGGGTTTCGAGTCCATTTTAACGGGTTCAATTGGCGATGAGGCGCAACTATTTATACAACCATTTGATTCCAGGTCTCCGCTAATTGTAACCGATGAATTACTTGAATTAGTTGATCCAACGGAACCTTTTCGTTGTTCATTTAATTGCAATTGGTTAGTTGATTGTTCATCAGCCCTTGAACTTGAAACATTATCATTTCCACCAATTACAATTGTCTCTTCACTTTTATCAATACAATCCCGTTGTAAATTAACTTGATTACATGTTGTTACAAATGATGATATTGTCAAATTATTTAGATTTGATTCAGTTGAAGGTGTTTTGATTTGCAATGAATTTACATTAGGAAAACAATCTGATTCATCCTTTTCACTTGGTGTGTTAATTAACTTATTAAATACTTTGTTAAGCCTTTGATTAGAGTCCCAAGGAGTATCGTAATCGTCCAGTGGCCTTGTATCGGTAAGTGGACTTTGCAATTTCGGACTTGATAAGTTCATAGATGAACGAGTCTCATCTAATTTAAGATTTAATCGACGAAATGATCGATTAGCTGGTAATTTATCAGTCATCTTATTGGTGGTAGCAACAATTTTCTGATTACAATGATTATTATTACTTTTAACTAATGAGTTAAAAGCATCATTAGAAGATGTAGTTGTTGTTGTTGCTGTTGTTGTTGTTGATGTTGATGATGATGATGAAGATGATGGAGATGATGATAATATATTAACTCTATTATTGCGATCTTGGATTGATAAACGAAGCGAATCAAGATTTGATCTTGTCCGTGTCAAGACTCGTCCAGCCTCACAATCAAATGACGATAGGGAATCACTGGTTGTTGATTTAACCATCGAAAATGTCGATAAAGTTTTAGTGTTTACTTGATTACGTTTAGCTGATTGATTATCACCAGATAAATGGTTTGTAATAATATTTGCTGATTTACATTCAATAGAAGATGAAATTTTATCTGTTTGATTAGATGGTGGTGATGGAGATGATGATGATGATGATAATGATGGAGGATTTAGAGCAGCTGATAAATTAAGAGTTATATCACTAGATTTACTTCGTGGTATGTGTACAGTTGATTTAATTGGTTGTCGTCGAGGTAACAACGATCCAGCTAATTGATCGAGATGTTTGGGTGTGGATGAACTTGAAGATTCATGGCCGTTGGAAGATGATGTTGATGAGGCTGTTGATGATCGAGAAGAGTTTATATTATTATCGTTGATAAAAGATGCGACTGATGATGATGAGTTACTATTCTCAGTGGAACGATGAAAATTGTTTGTATGATGATTATGATGATGATTGTGATTGGGATGATGATTAGAGTGATATGTCATTTTGATTGGTTGAAGATTATGTTGACTTAGTTGATTAATTTGATCACGATGTAAACCATCATGAAGAATTGCTTTACTATCGAAGGCTGTTTCATAAAAAGATCCTTGACTTGATCTGGAGCGATTTAGAACGGCCATTGTTGATTGTGTTTCGATTGGTGCTTGATTGCTACTGGTTATTGTTTTAATTTCACTCTTTTTCCTCAATGGTTTTGGTGGATGATCGGGTACCGGTGGTGGTGGACGATCGGGTTTCTTTGAGACACTTTGAGGTTGCAAAGGAGGCGGAAGATGAGGTGAACTATTGGTACTTTCTTCACACAATTTAAACGACGGTGAAGGTGATAAAGATCCTGTACTTGATACACCGGATGATGAGGATGAAGATGATGATGAGGAACAAGCACCTTTAGGGGGTAATGTCAAAGGTAAATCAGTTGAAACACTTTGATTGATCAATTTTTTACCTGTCAAAGGATTGATATGTCGAGGTGGTTTCGGTGGTCTTATTTTAGGTTTGTTGATTGTAATTTTACCGATTGATGAGGTTTGATTATGGGAAGATGATGATGATGATGATGGGGTTTGTATATAAAAGGCAATTGTTTAGTATTCTCGCTATTGTTATCAAGCGATTTGTAGTTATTGTTGTTATTGCAAGATTCAAGTAAAAGTGATTCAATTACGGATGAGGAACCATGAGATGAGATATTGGTGACATTTGATGATGATGAGGATGTTGATGGGTTACGATTTTGATTACTATTATCAAGGAAGTGATAATCAAAGGTTGATAATAAAGGTTCATCGTAGAAATGATCTTCAGGATCGTCGAAAACGTCAAAAGTACCAGAGTCAATGGATGAATTAGATGATTCTGTAATAGTGGACATAATTTCAGAAGAAGATGAGAATGAGTTTTGTTTTGAATGAATATGATTATGATGATGGAAAAAATTATCTTGATGATGATTTTGATGGTTGTGTTGATGAATGTAGTTATTGTTTGATGGTTCACCCAAAATAATTGAGTTAACCAAGGATCTCATTGTGGTTGAGTTAAGAAAGATGCTCATAGTTAATTAAAAATGATATACACACACACACTGACCATGACAACAATCAACACCAAAGTTATGAGAGAGAGAGAGAGAAATTGATGAATCAGAAATCAGGTTAACTGTTTCATAAATGAATAAACAACAAACAAAAAAAGTGAAGACAAAAAAAACTGTTTATCGAAATGATGAAAACTTAATCATGTTAACAGTTTGAAGTCTTAAGAGTGACTGTTTTTCAATATCTTCTTCAAGGAACAACAAATAACAACAACATGAAGACAAGAAGAAGAGGGTCAGGGGGATGAAGAAGAAAAAGAAAGACTCCCTTTTCAACTGGTCTAAGAAAAGAAAGAGAAGATGATGAAAAACTCTCTTTTCATCTTCCTTAACAGAAGCATTAACATCGACATCTGCGAGGTTAAAGCGGAGAAAAGGAAGACCGAAAAAGAGAGAAAGAGGAAGACAGAAAGCGAGAGAACGTGCTTAACACGTTTTGTAGAATAAAACGCAGCACGCGTTTCTCTTTCTTTCGAAACCTTTAATTTTAGGAATTCCTTCGAAGAAAGAAAGAAAGAGAGAGAGAGAAATAAGGAGGGCCAAGAGAAGGTCATTGATATTTTATCCTTTTCTGTTGAGGTGAAAGGTCTCTGGTTATCGATGGACTTTGATTGTAAGTCGTACGCCAAGAAAACGACAGATGGTTCTGTCCATATAATTTATATCGAACAGACTTTTCTTTATCTGTGTAAAGGTAAAAATACCTGAGGGTATTTACCTTATTCTTATGTTTATCATTTTCTCTTTCTCCTTTTCCACATGTCCTTTTTTCTTCTTACTATTTTTTTTCCATCATCATCTTGACCAGCATCTTAAATCTCTGGACACACGAACAGACTTTTAAAATGTTTACCATTCATCTTTTGTTATCATCCTCATCTTCATCATCATTATCATCATCTTTTCCATTGGTTCTCTACTTAAAGGTTACCTTGCATAAACCCAGAACTTTAATTTTTCATCTTCTCTCATTACAGAAAATACATATTAACATGATTGACCTTTTACCGATTCTAACTGTTGACCTAAACTTTTTTTTCTCTCTTTCTCTCTCTCTCTCTCAAACTAATCATATAACTCGTATTCTCTTGTATCATCTTCAAATTAATCCTTAATCATGATGATGATTCATATTCTTATTGATATTATAAGAAACACTAATAAATTTCAAGTGATATCAGTAAATCTTATCATCATGGTAACAATTTTATATCCTTAAAATTTGTTCATCATCTTGTATCATCACTCAGAATTCAGAGCAAATCATCAATTTCATGATAATAAAAAAAACGAGAAACGGATAAATAAGATAATTGAATTTGTAAACTTACTTAATTTGGACATTGAAAGTTATCGGTATTTTCCCTGGTTATTTAATAATAACAACAAACACTTTAATTCAATTGTTTCAAGAGATAAATGAATCAACTAGAAATTTTATTTTCTAAAACAATTGAATAACGGTAAACATAAATATATAAAGGTAACGCACAAGAATTGAAAATTTAAAGTTTAATGATGAAAAAAAGGACAGATTAACAGTTAATTGTTGTTCAGTTGTTTCTTCAATAAATAACAATTTACGATGAGAGTGTAAAACTAAAGTTAATCACTTGAAATGATCAACAGACAACAAGAGTAGTTAATGTTGTATTGATGTGTTCATATTGTCAAAAGCATGATAATGTTACCATGAGATACAATCAAAAGATGAGGTAGTTTGATTGTTGATAATAAAAAGAAACCAGGTAAAAACTGATTATCTCACCTGAAGGTAAGAAGAGAGGGGGAAACAACTGATGACAGGATTGAAGATGAGATGACAAGTTGATGAGAATTTTAATTTGAAGAAAACGAATCAAATTTAACCGTCAAACAATTAAAGTAACGGTAATTGTAGTTTTTTTTGGTTCTGTTAAGTTTCAGAACTTTTTTCCCTTCTTCTTGTTACCACCGATGAAATTTCAGTAAACAATCAAAGTAAACAATTAGAAACAACTTTAACTACGACAATTAACTATTAAATATCACATTGGTTGATGAGTGAAAGTTAATTATGGTTCTGATCAAGTGAGAGGATACGATTTGGCTGTACGTGTTTCTATTGAGGTGTTGGATTGGAAATCGTGAGCTCAGTGACCCTGCAATTGAATTTTGAAGCTTAATTGTTAACAACAGTAGCCAAATTGTTCATCTTCATGAGGATAATAATTAACTACAAGTTAAAGTGTAATCGATAATCACTATCATGATGATTCTGATTCTGATGAACTACATGAAAATAGCCAACTAAGATCATCTCTTTTTTCATCTTCTGCTGTTAATAAATCGTTATGATCGTAACCCACATACCTGGTTAAGAAGAAATTGAACTTTAATTATGATTATTATTAAGATTCTTGATTCGCTATCAAATTTTTTGAACCATGAAAATCTAACGGTTACAATTTTCTCTTTCATCTCATTGAGATTCTCATTTTTTGATGGCGATTTGTTGCCAAAAACAAATTCTTTTCCTCCTTGCCCACTGGTCATTCTACTCTCTTGTTTACTGTGAGTCAATAACATCAATGTATCAGTTCAATGACAGTTAATCAGTTACAATTTAGGGCAACAATCAACATGGGCCCATGGAAATTGGAAAAAGAGAAACATTTTCAATCGACAATCTCATTAATCAATCTACTGAAATGTTCACTTAAAAGTGGATAAGTTTAGTTATGAGAATAAGAGGAAAATCTGTAAACCCAAAAACTTAACCAAAAGTTCAGAACAAATTTCAAGTTGATCGGTTTTTTTCTTACTCTGAGATGATGCGAAGAGGAAAGTCATTGACATGATGATGAAAAAGAAGAAGAAGATGAAGAAGATGAAGAAGATGAAGAGATAGAAAAAGAAAAGTAAAAGATTACTCTGATTTCTTGAATTTTTTCCTCATTCTGAGCAAAATCATGTTGATTTTCAGGATCTGATATACTCACACTCACCACGGAAGCAGTTTGGATAAACATCAACTCAGTTTCATTATCCATTAGCATCTTTACCATTGAATCTTTATTATCATTGGAAACTTTTTTCTTTCCTCCTCATCTTCCTAAAGATAGTGGGTGCGATTCATTGAAATTTACTCTGATTATAAACCAGAATCTATTTCATTTTATCTTCCAGAGCTTCCGGTGACATAAAGATCTCATATAGTCTTAAAAGAGAGAGAGAGAAATCTGAACAAGATGACAAAGATGGCAAAGTATTAACCTGGAAAAAGTGAATGAAAGTTGAAGATCTACAATGATCATTAACAAGAGATTAGAAAATGGCACAAACGGAAATCACTTGAAATACTTTTGTGAACATTGTGTCAACTCATACACTTCCACTCTACGTGTTAAACTGTCAACTATTTTCATCTCAACATCATCATCATACTTGAGATGATAATTCATTGATATCCCTTCATCACTCATCGATAATCATTAATCGTGAAACAGTTTGGTATCATTAAGAATATAAGATAAGAATAGCGAAGAAAAAAAGAGGAAGAGGAAGAGGCGAACTCGAGAGAGAGAGAGAGAGAGAGAGAGAGAGAGAGAGAGAGAGAGAGAGAGAGAGAGAGAGAGAGAGAGAGAGAGAGAGAGTTTGTTCCATTTTTAGTTAATCACCGAGCGACTAAATTATTATACAAAGAGAAAAGTTCATAGAATTTTGAAAAAGAGAAAAAAAAGTTTTCGAAAATTGTTCAAAGTTCTGAATAGATTCATTATCATGTAATAATAATCTAATCAAATGCATGAGTCGCTCTTTTTTCATCGTTAACTAAACACTCAAGTTTCAAGTTAATTGTTTCTCGTTATCATTAATTAGCTTTTTTGTTTTTCACGTTTAACAGCTAAAAAAAATGATCCTGTTAATTCACAATTAGCTGATGATTATGTGGACGATTAAATTATTTTAAGTTAATCAATAACAATTAGAAATCATCACCACGGATTTAGAAACTGTAATCAAATATTAGAATTAAACAAAAAATCATATCAATTCTCAACTAAATTAACTCAATTGAAATCATTTGATGAAGAAAAAAAAATCAATCAAAGTAATTATATAATCTAACTGTTACTTTAATCATCATAAGTATCAATTACCTTCATCGTCTTGATGGTAACAATTTAAATTGTTCACAATTTCAATTACAATTTACATCTATTTTTAGATTAACATGACAACAGGATTAATTTTTTTTCTCCAATTTAATCCATATAAAGATTCAGTGATGGAGATGATGAAATTTGGATTAAATTAGAATCGATTACAATATTTGGATTAACTGAGAAAAAAACAAATTGGATTATTTGATTACCTTTGTTAACGAAATTACAAAAAGAGTGATGAAATTTTAATCAATTCAATTCTAATCATCATGATCATGGAAATTCATTGACAATTGAATTAACCGATTAACAGTAACAGAACAATAAATTGATTCAAATTAATCTGTTAATTGTTTTTCTATGTACAGAATTAATTAATTAGCTTAATTTTTTTGTTGACATTTGATTTGAAAGTTGATTATCTCAATTTTGGATTAATTTAATTTCTTGATTCTTTTAGGTATTGGCCTTGTATTCATAATAATAATAATCATTTCATAATTGAATGAAATTGAAACAATTATAATTAACAATTATAATATCTGACAGTAAACTTGATTTACACTGTTTACATTTAACAACAATCAACTTGATTGACGTCTCAACAGAAACATGTCTAATTAAATTAACTTTAATCCAGTTGAATTAGTTTGTTTAATGATACAGAGCTTCAATTATATATTGAAACTATTACAATAATTATCTTTGATTGTATCATGATAATTATCAGAATATTGAACTGAACTTTAATCATTGTGACTTTTCAACTGATTTTAAGACATGATAATGATTAAATTAATCCAAAGATTAATAATTGATTATGATTAATAACTTTAAAGATATTTCCTTATTCTCATATATATTATATAATATTAATTAAACCGTTAATATCTATAATTGTTATACTTTAATTATCGATAGCATATAAAAAGGTAAACAATGATTAATGAATAATTTGTTTTGACAATTATAATAATTGAGTAGTCAATTTGTCAATGAATAGCTAATTGGAGTAATTAACTGATGTAGAAGAAAGCAAATTAATTAATCTTAAGCTTCAATCATTGTTTAACCCTTTAGTTTTCAAAAAGATTTGGTGTTTGTTTGTATTAAAGTTTCATCTTAATCAATGTAATTATCTCAAATCATTTTAACATAATCAACAATCAACTTAATTGTTTCCTCATTTCATAGCTTAATCTCTTGTAATCAATAGTAATATTGTCACGCTTCTTATACTGACCAACCCTAATTTTTAACCAATCAAAGCTCTTTGTGAGTTAAACACCAACTTTGACCCTACGAGAACTCCCACCTGAGGATAAAAGGAGCTTAGTTTATGACCCGAGAGGCAATATAATCTTGTGTATCCTCGAGTGCAGTGGCACTTTTTACTTTAAGCCTCTTTACTAATAAAGATTATCTTCATTCTTAACCCTAATCAGTTTTAGTTTTAAGTTCCAACTGAAAAGTTGTTACATTTTGGCGACCCAGGCAGGATAATCGAGTGAAATCCTGTAGTATTTTTGAGTTTTTGTGTTTTATGTCACAAGTTTTGTTTATTCTTGAGTGAAAACTACAACTTTTGTCAACCTTTGTTGATAAGTTTTTGATCTCAAATTGTGAGATTTGGTGTTTTTGTGAAGTAAAGTAATTCTGATTACTTAAGTTTCATATCCTGTGATTGTGTTTGGTATTTTCATCGTTTTAGTTGAGAAATAAAAGTGCTATAATAACTTTTGGAGGAAAAATTCGCTCTCGTGCTTGGTGGGTTTTTGGTGTTTTGTGAAGTAAAGTCGTTTTGTCTACAAGAGAATCGTTTGAGTCCATATTTCGGTGTTTTCTGTCAACTTTTTTTGGTATCGACGTTTATAATCAAT